GGGGTGGTGCGCCCCCCCCCCCGCCGTAGCAGCATGCCCCGGCTGCCCAGCAGCAGGAGGGGCGGGTGATGTCAGCAAGATACAAATAGCGGCGTCGCGGGTCCTCTCCTGACGACTCGCAGAGCTGCCGGCCGCTCGCCAGCCCTGCTGCCTGCTCCCTGCTCCAGCCTCACCGCCCCACGCCGCCACCATGAGCCAGTCCTACTCCTCCAGCCAGCGGGTCTCTTCCTACCGCCGGACCTTCGGCGGTGCCTCCCCGGTCTTCTCCCGTGCCTCCTTTGGGGGCAAGGGCAGCAGCGGCAGCTCCGTCACCTCCCGCGTCTACCAGGTGTCCCGCAGCTCGGCTGTCCCCAGCCTGTCCAGCTTTCGTGCCACTCGCGTGACGCCCCTGCGCTCCTACCAAAGTGCTTACCAAGGTGCCGGCGAGCTGCTGGACTTCAGCCTGGCTGATGCCATGAACCAGGAGTTCCTCCAGACCCGCACCAACGAGAAGGTGGAGCTGCAGGAGCTCAATGACCGCTTTGCCAACTACATCGAGAAGGTGCGCTTCTTGGAGCAGCAGAATGCCCTCATGGTGGCCGAGGTGAACCGCCTGCGGGGCAAGGAGCCCACCCGCGTGGCTGAGATGTACGAGGAGGAGCTGCGGGAGCTCCGGCGCCAGGTGGACCTGCTCACCAGCCAGCGGGCCCGTGTCGAGGTCGAGCGTGACAACCTGCTGGACGACCTGCAGAAGCTCAAGCAGAGGTGAGGAGGGGCCCTGGTGTGTCCCTGTGGGCATCCATCCCTGCGTCTCCATCCCTAGGGATGGGTGGTAGCAGAGTTTGCCCTGGCAGCCCCTTGAGTGCTCACTGCTGTCCTTGTGCCCTGTGCTCGGAACCCATTGTGGTCCCGCTCCTCTGTCCCCCTCACGCTGTCCCCCAGGGTTGGAGAGCACACAGGCCATGCCTGTCGCTAGCTGCACCTGCCTGCAGGGCATTTTGCAGGGTGCCAGGTCCTGGCACGGTGCCTGCGAGTTTTGGGAGGGAGAAGAGCACCCGTGACTTGCTACACCAGTGCTGGGTGCTCCCCAACCCACAGCGTGAGGCAGGTTGGGGGGAGCTGGCCCAGCGGCATGAGGCAGGGCAACGGAAGTGCCCGCAGCCTGGGCATCTCAGCAGGGCACTCTGGACGGCCACTGCCAGCCCTCACCAGGCGCCCAGGCAGCACCCAGTGGGCAGGATGGCTCCGGCAGTAGGGGTGTCCCCTGTGTTCTCCCTTGCAGCAGGGCCGAGGCCGGGCTGCGATGCCATGGGACCCCCAGAGCTGGGAGATCGGAGTGCTCCGCTCCAGGGTCCCCATCCTCACTCACACCAGGGAGGGCTGGCCAGCCCATGAGTGCACTGAGCCCTGCGGGACAGACAGATGGACAGAGCCTGCCACGCAGGCGGAAGCGAGGGGGAGGATGACCCGGGGGGTGCTCCACCAGCTCCGGACGCAAAGGAGGGAGGGGAGGAAGAGGCCACACTTCCGCAGGCCAGGGATGCTCCAGGGCTGCCGTGGGTGTCCACGGTGCCCCGGGAGCAGAGGGGACCCCCCAAGGATGCTGTGGGCCTGGCTGGTGCCGGGGAGGGGGCTGGGGCCAGGGGGGAATAGCCACAAGGGCACCCAGGCTGAGTGACCCCCAAGGGACTGACCAGCATGGGGGCACCTGGCAGCAGGGGCGGATGCTCAGGGGAAGCTGCTTTTTCTGATGCTGGTCTGCACCTTCCCTACTGGCCCCTGTGCCCTGGGGATGCCAAGTCCCCATCTCCTGGGAGTGACACAGGCTGCTGCCTCCCCCTGCAACCCCAGCCTCTGCCCCAGATGGCCAGCACTGGGGTCCTGGTGGGGCAGAGCCCCTGATGCTGGGAGGCTGGGGGTGGTAGCATGGAGGACCCCTCAATATCAGGGGACGAACAGGGCCCAGAACAAACGGGTGTCAGGTTCCTGCCACTTGGTGTGCCAGCACCTGTCCGGGCATCTCCGACTCCTCCCCGCCGCCTTCCCCTGTGGCACTGCCCCTTCCCCTGGCACAGCCGGGCTCCCCAGCCCTGACCTTGGGCTCACACCCCAGCGGTCCCTGCTCCATACCCCCATCGCACAGCACCGCTGAGACCCGTCTGTCCTCCTGCTCTCCCTGGGACGGCACAGCTGGGGGCCATCCCTTGGGCCTCCCGTGTCAGATCCTGCACCCCGTCCCCCCCGCTGCTGGCCACTCTGCCCTATAAGGGCCGGGGCAGCGCATGTGGCACCGAGCTGACCTCATGCCTTTGTGCTCTCTCTGGCGTTGACTATAATAGGGAATGGGAGGAAGAGCCCCTGGCCCCCCGCCAGCCCTCCCGCCGCCTGCTGGGAATGCAGAACAATCGGCCGTGTTCCCACCAGGCCACGCTGGGCTCAGGGACAGCTTGGGGGGACATCGCTGCCTGGGGTCGGGGCTTCCTCCAGATCCCCCTAACCTCCCCTCTCTGCCTGCAGGCTGCAAGAGGAGATCCAGCTGAAGGAGGAGGCTGAGAATAATCTGGCTGCTTTCAGAGCCGTGAGTACCTGTCCCCCACTGCAAGGCCTGGGACCCCTGCCTCCCCTCCCACTCCCATCTCCCCCCAGCAGCCCAGTCCCAGCACCAGGGCATGGCCCTGGGCACAGCTTTGCACCTTCCAGCCTAGGTACATTCCCCGCACCCCCCCAACCCCGCTAACCTTCACTTCGTGTCCCCCCAGGACGTGGACGCGGCCACGCTGGCACGCATCGACCTGGAAAGACGCATCGAGTCCCTGCAGGAGGAGATCGCCTTCCTCAAGAAGGTGCACGAAGAGGTAGGTCGGGGTGGGTCCCTTTCCTGCAGGCACCCATGGGGCTGGCAGATGGAGCGGGTGCCCTGAGGTGTCGCCTTATCCCCCCAGGAAATCCGTGAGCTGCAGGCTCAGCTGCAGGAGCAGCACATCCAGGTGGAGATGGACATCTCCAAGCCCGACCTGACAGCTGCGCTGCGGGACATCCGCGCTCAGTACGAGAGCATCGCTGCCAAGAACATTGCCGAAGCTGAGGAGTGGTACAAGTCCAAGGTGCGGGTGGCGGTGGGCTCCGGGCTGGCCCCAATGTGGTGGGTCCTGGCTGTTCTGGTGGCCGTGCCCGCTGACCCTGGCCTCTCCCCAGGTGTCTGACCTGACGCAGGCGGCCAACAAGAACAACGACGCGCTGCGGCAAGCAAAACAGGAGATGCTGGAGTACCGGCACCAGATCCAGTCCTACACCTGCGAGATTGATGCCCTCAAGGGCACGGTGAGCTGCAGGCAGTGTCAGGGAGACCACCAGCTTCCCTGCAAGGACCTGCTGCGCTGGGGCTGCTCAGGGACCTCTGGGACATCTCTGGGGTGGAGGGCTCTTCCCAGCTCTCTGAGTTGCTGCTGTGGGGGGACTCATCCCCCAAATTTGGGCCGCACCTCCCCCAGCGGGAGTCTGGGCCTCTGCAACGTGTTTTGGCAGAGCCCCGGCGTCAAGGCACAGATTGCAAAAGGTGCCCCAGACTGGGAGGCTCCAGGCAGGCGGGCGCAGGGCTCAGGGTGTCTGGTTGCAGGCTGGGAAGGTGGTTGCAAACAAACAGGGCACAACAGTCCCGCTCTGGCATGGTCACAGTCATAGGAGCCAGTCAGCAGCCACCAGTGTGGCAGTGCCAGCCCTAGGCAGCCGTCCGGTGCTCCTGTACCTCTCTGCACCCCGCTGTCAGGGTAGGATGGCTTTGCTGAGGGGCCTGGGCACTGGGTTGCCCAGCACTTGCCCAGCTTGCCCCTGCCAGACCCTCCTGCCCAGCGCTGGGCAGACAGAGGGTGACAGCCACCCATCATGGTCCCACATCAGCTGGACCCAGCCCAGGACTGACCACGGCTCTCCCCAGGTCCCTGGCTCTCCCCTAGGACCCCCCCAGTATCCCCAACCCAGGTGAGCCCTGTCCCCTCTGGGTCCCCCCCTTGCTGAGCCCCCCTGTCTCCCCAGAACGACTCACTGATGCGCCAGATGCGGGAGATGGAGGAGCGCTTCGCAGGGGAGGCCGGCGGGTACCAGGACACCATTGCCCGGCTGGAGGAGGAGATCCGACAGCTGAAGGACGAGATGGCCCGGCACCTGCGCGAGTACCAGGACCTGCTCAACGTCAAGATGGCCCTGGATGTGGAGATTGCCACATACCGCAAGCTGCTGGAGGGCGAGGAGAACCGGTGAGTGGCAGGGGAGCAGGACAAGGTGGGGGGATCAGCAGGGTCAGCTGGTTTTTGGGGCTCCCACCCCATGAGCAGCTGCCCAAGGGCTGGGGCTGGCTGGCTGACGCTGAGCTCTCCCCTCTGTGTCCCCACAGGATCAGCATCCCCATGCACCAGACCTTTGCCTCCGCACTCAATTTCCGAGGTGAGCATCGCCCCGTGAGGAAGAGAACCTGGGACCAGTCCCCAGGGGTCCCCGGAGTGGGGGCAAATCTCCCTCCTGGGGGGCTGCAGCCAGGCTGGCAGGTTGGGGACCCACGGGTGCCACACTGACCCCCTGGTGTGGGGGCACTCAGTTGGGTGTTGCCATGAGCTGAGGGGGGTGTTAAGCCAGTCCCACTGCTGTGCCCCCATGCCACATGTCCCTGCGGTCCCATCCCCTGTGTCTTCCCGCCCGCAGAGACCAGCCCAGAGCAGCGCGGCTCCGAGGTGCACACCAAAAAGACCGTGATGATCAAAACCATCGAAACCCGCGATGGGGAGGTGAGCGCAGGGCGGTACCAGGGGGCAGTGGAGAGGTGGGGGGGGGCGAGCACGGCACCTGTCCCTGTGCTCAGGGCTCCAGTGCTGGCACGGCATGGCGTCTCACGGTGCCTCTCTCCTGGCAGGTGGTGAGCGAGGCGACCCAGCAGCAGCACGAAGTGCTGTAGAGGAGGCTGCTCTGGCAGCCCACTGGCACCTTCTGTCCCTGCCTCCGTCCTGCCGCCAAGCCCCCCTCCTGCCCCCCACCTTGCCCCCCGGCGCTCCCCTGGCACTGCCCGAGGGGTGTCCCCTTGCACAGCCGCCATCGGACCCCCCGCACCCCCCGGGCTCTCTCCTTTGGTTTTGAAAGGCTCGCTCTGCTTTCGTAGCTTCGCAGCAGCAACGCCAGCATCAGGATCAGGCCCGGGCCAGGGGGCTGGCAGGAGGGAGGGAGGGGACAGGCAGGAGGGGCTGGGGGGAGCCGATGGTTGGCCTGGGCCAGCTCCCTGGAGAGCCGGATGATCCCAGCAGCAGGTTCTGGATCCCCGCTCAGCCCCCTCCCCACACGGGGCATGGGCTCAGGGTTCATCCCACGGGAGCAGGGACCTGTCCCCCTGCACCAGCACCGCTGGCCTCCCCGGAGCTGGCACTTCTCCGGGTGCATGGCGGTGATGCTGGGGATGGGGAGAAGAGGGGTCTGGGCCAAGCCCCCCCTTCTCTGCCCGGCTTGGAGCCAGGGTGCTCCCAACCTGCGTCCCCCTCCTGGCCCGGGGGGGCTGGGGTCCTGTGGTCCCCCAGCCCGAGAGGCAGCCCCGTGGGGCAGAGGAGGGCAGCGCCCACCCCCCCCATCGCGGGGACCCCCAGCAGCAGGAGGCTGTGCGGGGCCAGGCTCGTGAGCCCAGAGGGTACCCGTAGGTGGACACAGGAGAGAGGAGGAGTGAGTGAGTGGGAGAGAGGGGGGAGAGAAGGAGAGGAGCTGGAGAGAGGCCCGGGGGCCAGGGCAGGCGCCCCCACCCCTCACCCCACTGCATCCCCACCCCACTGCGTCTACGTGACTCTTCAGGCGGCTGAAATAAACAGTGGAGCATCACCCCTTCCTCCCAGCACATCTCTGGGGCAGGGATGGGATGGGATGGGGTGGTGGGGAGGCAGCACTGAGGGGGCATCACACGGGCCTCCGGGGCTGGGCTGGGGTGGATGAGGGGGCCAGCATACCCCGAGCCATCTCTTCCTAGGCTGCTGGTCCCCCCCAAAACATGTGCGTCCCTCATCTTACACTGAAGGTGCCCCAGAGCATTTTTCTGCCTGCGGTGGTGGGTTTCCCAGTTGCACTGGGTGGGAGAGCCCTGCTGGGACTGGAGGCAGTGACACCTGACCCCTGAGCAGGTTTGGACGGGCTCTGGGTGACCATCCCCTGTCCCCCCCATACACCCAGGGCCTTACACCATGGCCCAGTGGCTCTCAGCCCCACAGCTGTCCCCTTTCTGCCCTCACCCGGGCCAGTCCTGCCACAGACCCACACCCGCCTGGGACCTCACCAAGCCCCCCCATTGCCACCGACCTGGAAGCAGAGCCCCCCTCATCCCAAATCTACCTCCTCCTCAGTACCCCATGGGCATCAGCCCCACCACCCCACGCCTGCCCCCACCCCACACTCAACCCCTAGCCTCAACCTGGCCCCTACACCCTTTCCTCCCCAACACATGTGCCCCCCTCCCTGTGGTCGGGGTGTGGGGGTCTTGGCTTCGTCTCCTTTGCCCCAGCGATGGGGGATGCAGCAGGGGAACCCAGGGTCGAGCATCCCACAGGAGAGAGAGATTCAGGGTTGCTCTGCCCAGGGAGGTGTTGGAGGGTCCGTCCCCCCGGCAGGCAGCAGAGCCCTGGGAAGGCTTGGCGGGGGGGCCGTTTTAGGGACAGGGCGGGTGCTGCTGCCAGCAATGGGGTCGGGGCTGGGGAGTCCCTGATGGAAAGGCCAGCGTGGCCAACCCCAGTTTTGGCTGCGGGGCCGGCCAGGGCCGGGGGGGTGTCGGATCTCAAGGGCTGTCTCCAGCAGGTGGCCCTGTGACATCGAGGATGGTCCCCAGGGCCGCCCTGGGGAGGGATGACACCTCCCTCCCTGTCCGGCCCAGGCTGGCTGGGCCAGGGCTCTGCCCCTGGGGCGGGGGGCAAAGGGGGGACAGGCAGGGGACAGGGCAGCCCTTTGCCCGCCGGGCAGCGCAGGCAGGGGAGAGCCCCCCAAGCCTGTCGCAGGTTTCTCCTCCAGCCCCCGGAGACCCCGGGGCTTGCTCAGCTGCTCTGCAGCCGGGCCGTTGGTCTGGCAGGGCATCCCGCTCCGGCGTACCCCAGCCACCCAAGCTGCGGGGATCCTGGGATCTTCTCCTCGCCAGTGATGCTCCACCGATGCCAGCACCCTTGGGCTGGTGACAACGGGCTGTGCCAAAGCCGGCGGGGCTGGCCTGCAGCTGAGAAGCGGCTTGCCGTGTCGCTCGCGTCCTGCTCACCCAGATTTACAGCCCCCGGCGAGGGCGGCCAGGGCCCGGCGCCCAGACGTGTGCCATTGCGCCGGGAGCTGGGGAAGCCCTGCCTTGCCCGGGGGTGGCGAGGCAGTGCATGACACAGGCAGTCCCTGGTCGCTCGCTGCCTGGAGCACAGCATGTGGGAGCTCTCGTGGGGCACCCCAAATCCCAACAGCGAGCTGGTCCCGCTCTAAGCAGGGCTTGAATGGGGGCTGGCCAGGACCCACACTGCCCAGGGCAGTGAGGCAGGGGCTCGGTGAGAGAAATGGGGTTTTGTTGTACTTGCGGCCTCCTGGCAGGTTGGATTTGGGGTGAGCAGGGATGCAGGGATCCCTCTGTCCGCTGCCTGCTGGGGATGGGGCAAAGGGGCCCCGCGGGGCTGGCTCCTGCCCGGGGTCTCGCGTTGCAGGAAGCATGACGGTGTCCTTTCCCTCCACATGCCACCAGGGTCTCTCTGTCCTGATCCGGTGACACCGTCGTCGGAGAAGGGGAAGGGAGGGAGGAAGGCTGGGTCCCCCCCGAGCCTCGCTGCTAATATGGAAAGGTGCTGGCCCCTTTCTATCTTTGCAAGCGGAGCTGGGCTGCAGGGCCCAGGCGGCGGGTGCGGAGAGGGGGAGCCCGGCCAAGGAATGTGACATATCAGAGGCAGCTGCCACTTCAGGAGAGGGGGCAGAGGGAGCGCAGCTCGACGGGGGCTGCGTGGGACGGGACAGGACGGGCGAGGGGGGGGACGCCACGGCCCCAGTGGCGGGACAGATCAGGGAGCAGCCGGCACCCGCAGGACTCGCACCCAGGCCGGCGGAGGAGCAGGTGCCGAGGCGCTGGGCGGGCTCGGGGTCGCAGCGGAACATGGGGTGTGGGTGCTGCGCCGCACCGGGTGCTCGGTGAGTGGTGGCTCGGCGAGCAGCAACCCGAGCCCCCGCCTAAAAATAGCCCCTCGCTTGCCCACGGTGCTGCGACCTTCGGGGCTGCAGCCGGTGGGGGGGAGGCACCGAACCGGAGGGCACCTGGACCGGGGGGCCACCTCTGCCCCGGCACCCCTGGCAGGCACCCAGCACCCCCAGGCTGCAGGCAGGGGGAGAAGAGGGGCACGGCACTGCTGGCTCGGGGCAGCGGGGGTCGCGGGCAGGGGTAGGGGAGCTGCAGACCATGCACCGAGCACAGGGACGCGGTGGCACGAGTAGGGCCGGTGGGGAGCCCCGGGCGGCCCCGCCGAGCCCGGGCATCCCCCCGAAGCGTGCCAAGGTCACCGCGGAGCCGGGGGCACCCGAGGAGGGCCCGGGTCGCCCGGCGGCACCGTTTTTTGCGCGGAAGCTGAAGAACGCGGCGATCGGCACCGGCTGCGACATCCGGCTGCGGGTGGTGGCTGTGGGCAACCCCCGGCCCAGCCTCCGCTGGTACCGAAATGAGGAGCTGCTGGCCCCACGCGGGGAGGAGTATGGCACCCTCTGGATCCGGGACAGCAAGAAGGAGGATGCCGGCGTGTACACCTGCATCGCCGAGAACGAGAGGGGAGAGGCCATGACGAGTGCCGTGCTGGCCATCATTGACATGGAAGGTAAGGGCGGCCTGGCCGCTGGCACGGCTGTGCTGGCACAGCCACGGGCACGAGTTCGCCGAGGGTGGCAGCGGTGCTTTGCAGGCTCCTGTCTCAGTGCATGCCCGGGGCCAGCCAGGGCTGAGCTTTGCTGTGCCTGCCATGCTGCAGGCTGGGGTGAGCATGTGGCTGCTGTACCTGCTGCCAGGCCAGGCAGGGTGCCAGGGCCGGGCACTGAAGTGTCAGGAGCATGTGATGCCAAGCCCGCTCGGGGCAGGAGGAGAGAGAGAGACGCGGCTTGGGTGCACGTCACCGGTGGTGCCACCCTCCGCAGCCACCGACACGGTCCCTGGTACCCCCCGGTGCCCCTGCACAAGCCACTCGTGCACCAGCTGCCTGCGGGCAGAGCTGCCCATGGCATCGCCATCGCAGCTGTACCAGGCACTGGGACTGCGCTGGGAGAACTGGGACCCTCCGGGGGTGGGGCTGGGGGGAGGAGCCTAACACTGCAGGAGGTGGGGCTGTCAAGTGGGTGGAGCCTATGCTCTGCAGTGGGCGGGGCCTGATTAATTAGCAGGGGTGGAGCTAGCTTTTGCCGGCCCCTTAAAGCCATACCGCGGCTCCTCTGCTCATCGCTCCTGGGTACAGCAGCCAGGCATGCTCCTCTGGCGCACAGGGAGCGTATGGGGGCTGCTGTGGGCCCTTGCATGGGTGGGCCTCATCCTGCACAGGAGCCAGGCAGGTTTGGGGCTCGGCCCCCTCTGCCCCAGGATGGATGCCACCTCCCTGGGGTGTTGCAGACCTGAGTGTTGGGGAACGTGTGGTGCTGGCTGGTGGCACTGCTCGGAGATGTGAGCTGTGCCATCTGCGTGGGCACAGCGAGGGCAGGGAGTGAGGGAGGTGGTGCTGGGCTCTGGGGAAGGAGCTGCACCTGGGGCTTTGTAGCACAGGAGGTGTGCTGGAGATGCTGCACCTTGAGGTGGGAACTGGGTGGCGGGGGCGGGGGGGGCAGAAGGAGCCTTCGCGGTGCTGAAGGGGAGCAATGGAGGAAGAGGAGGAGTCGCTTTGTGTGAGCCAGGAGGCTGGTGGAGCCGTGTTTGGAGGATGGAGGAAGGTGTATGTGCTGCTCATGGGCCTGAAGGGAGGGCAGGGGGAGCAGAGAAGTGTGCAGGAGTGGTCCTGCCCTGTGGTGTGTCTGCGCAAGGTCACTGTGCATAACACTTTGGGGACCATGACACTGTGCAGTCGGACGCGTGGCACTATGTGTGCAGAGAGAGTGGGAGACGTGCACGGCCCCACAGGGTGGGAGCAGCCTGTCCCGAGGTGGGGGAGGTCACCCTGTTCTCACACTCTGGTGTACAGCTGCACCTCTCCATGGCACTGCCGGCCCAGGCCCCCCTACCTCTGCCCAACGGCGCAGCGCTGCCTGATTTCCCCAGGTGCCCGTTCCCGTTGTGCTGACGCACTTGTCCCTGCTCCCGATTCCCAGCCACTGGCCCTCGCTGCTGCCTTTCTGGAGCAGCTGAGGGAGGGATGGCACAGCCAGGACTGCCTAACACACAGGGTGAATGTCACCCTGCCCCAGGCGCTCCCCCCGGCTGGCCGTGGGTACACAAAGCTAGCCCTGGGGCAGAGATGCCTCTGGAGCCGCACAGGCTCCAGGGCACCGGGCTGGGCAAGGAGCGTGGCAGCCTCCAGTGTGGTTTTTGCCCCTGCCTTGGGGCAGAACAATCTCTGCGGTGTGCTGTGGCAGCACCCAGGGCGCACCATGTCCTGCCGGGTGCTGGAGAGGGGTGCTGGTGTGGAGGTGATGGGATGTGGTGGAAGGTCCAGCCCTATTGCCTGGCCCCATTGCAGGGCGCAGGCACTCAGCGTGTTGTTCCCCTGAGGCCATTTTCTCAATGCCGGCAGCGGAGTGGTGAGATGGGTCATCGTGTGAAATGGAGGAGCCGTGCCACCGCTGTGCACCCGCCTGCCCTGACACCCTGCCAGGTTGCGTGCTGTGGCTCACTGGCCTCCAGCATGGAGGCCCCCGCTGCTCAGCGGCTCCCCACGCTCCCCGCTGAGATGCAGCTCTCTGAGGACTGTGGAAGTTCCACTGGTGGCTGCACTGTCCCTGTGCTGGGCAGGGACACCCCGTCCTTGTTCCCTGGGGGGCCCTGTGAGCTGGGTTATCAGCCAGTTATGGGGTAAGGGGGACATGTGCAAGATGCCCTGGGCAGGATGAGGTCTTTCTCTGGGTTCAGGGTCCTGGCCCCCTGTGTCTGGACATAGTGGGATGCCCTTGCTTCATTTGCCTCTGCTGGGTCATGGTCTCCGGTGGGCACGGAACCTGGTCCTCCACCTTCTTTCCCCGGCATGCGGGCCAGACTGCAGCTCTCTGTGGGGCCAGCATCAGCTCTCCCCAAGGTGGCTCAGGTCACTGCTGGTGGTGTGGGGGGGCTCTGTGCTGCCCATCTCCATGCTCAGCCCTGGCAGCTCCTCCTGCACCAGCTCAGCATTCCCTCTTGCTTGCACAAGCCTGATTTAGCTCCTCTAATCCCTTGCCCTGAATCTGTCGCTCCACCCCACTAATGATTTTCTCCTGCTCTTCTCCCAGGTCCCCCGTGCGCGTCAGTGCCCAGCGTGGGGAGCGGGAAGCGCACGTGTGGGGCTGGCTGGGCAGCCAGCTGCAGAGGCTCCCAGGGGCACACGATCCCCGCTGTGTCCCACTGCTCTGCCCCTCTCCTGCTGCAGGTTCGCCCTCATGCTCTGGCTCCCCAGGTGCAGGTGGGGTGTGTTGGCCCTTCTCACACCAGCACCAGGCTGGTCCAGGGGCTTCCCAGGTCCATCCAGACACCCTCCAGACCCTTCCAGCCAGCCCTGGTTCCCACTGTGGCTCCATCGCCCCCAAGTTCACTAAAGCCTCTATCACCTCTCAGCTGCATCTCCTAATTTTTTACCCTGTAAACCAGATTAAATCACCTCTTAAGAACCCAAGCTAATCTCCTTTTAGAGCCCAGCCCTCCCTCGCCATGCCGGCACTGCCTGGTCCTCGCTGCTGGGACTGCCTCTTGTTTCAAGGTTGCATGTGTCCGTCTTGGGTTCCCAGCACAGGGTCTTGCTCCACTCGCCTCCACCTGCACTCAGCAATCAAACTGCCTTGGAACTATTCCTCTGCCCAGGGAACAGCCTGCACCCGCCTGGATTTGGGGGCAGGGAAGGGGGCAGGAGCTGCCTGTGCATGGCAGCACTGCACGGCCCCTTTCCATCCCGCCCAGAGTTACAGTGGAACAGCGTGGGCATGCTTTTGCAGCTGGTGGTGCGTGGCGACGGCAATGGCACCCTGGTGGGGATGGCTGCACTGACAGTGTCCCTGGTGGCCCAGCACCTCTGGCCATTTCACTCAGTGCCTAATTTTAGTCCCTTACTTTGCAGCGCAGCGCCCATGATTAATGCCAACAGCCCCTTCCCTCTGGAGCCCCTGCCAGCCCTGCTCAGGGACCGAATGGGGACTAAAGCCTCCCTCTACCATCTCCTCCCTCCCGTGGGTCTCTCTGGGGCTGCCTAGTCTCCTCTTGCTGTCCCCGGCTCTCCCCCCAGCCCCAGGGCACAGCAGCATGTTGCATCTCAGAGGAGCCTGGGATGCAGCAAGGCTCCAGCCCAGGCTGCCATGCCCCACCGTGGGGTGGGCACCGTGCCCAGCTGTGCCAGCGCAGGGACTGTCTCTGCAGAGCTGGGGTGCCACCCCAGGTGCTGGTCTCAGCTGGTGCAGGGACGGGTCCCTGCGGCTGGGCAGCGTGGGGGGGGACGGGGCTGGACCTGGCCCTCAGGATGCCAGCAGCCAGCAGGGCCGGTGGGTGGACCGGCTGTGCCGCCGCCAGTTCCCAAGCACAGCCAGGCGCCCTGGGACTGTGCCCGTTCCCTGGCCCCGGGGGTGGCACCCGGGCTAGCAGCTGCCGGAGACCCGGGCTCTCAGCTCTGCCCCCAGCCACCTGGGCAGGGGGCTGGCGCGGTGGCCGTGTGTGCCAGCTCCCCGTCCCGGGGCACTGCGGACCGGGAGGGCTGCTCCCCAGGGAGCGGAGGGGAGGGTGCAGCTGTCCAGTCAGTCACCTCCACCCCTGCCCTCTCGCCCGCTGCCGGGGGGTTATTTTTGCCATGGAATGTGCCGTCCCTTGGATTCTGGCGGGCTGCAGGGCTTGTGTTACAGGCGAGAGGCTGAGACCCAGGCCTGCGGGTAGGTAAATATAGCACCGCCGCTTGGGGCTGTGTGATGGGGCGACGGCCTCTTCCTCCTCCCGGGGCTGCCCAGCGCGCCCTGTGCCCCTCCTGCCTCCTGACACCAGGTTGCTGGCTTGTGCCTTGACTCAGTGGTACTGGGAAAGGGCTAGCTGCTTCTACCCTGCTGCCTGCACTCTTGCCTGCTTCCCCCTCGGCCCTCTGCATGCAGCCTGTCAGCCCCAGGCAGGGGGGATGCCGGGAGCGGGGCTAGCAGGGCAGAGATGAAATGCCTCCCACCATCCCGCTCCATGCCCAGGCACCCGGAGCCAAGGTCACGTTGCTGTCCCGCATCCCCGTGTCCTCCACCTGCAGCGGGCACCGTGTGCTTGGGCATCCTTCTAGTGGTGGCAAGGGGAGGTCACCTGGGGTGTCCCGGGCCCTTGGGAGAGGGGTCACAGCAGACCATTGCTCTTCCCCAGAACCAGAAAGCTGCTGCGGTGCTGCCCTGCCCTGTGATGAGGGCCATCCTGCTGTGTTTATTTCCTCCTGGGGACAGGGCTGGGGATGGTCCCCACCTCCCCAGGCTCCCAGCACATCCCCATGTCCTGCAGACCCTCCCCAGCAGCTCCAGGAGTCACAAACACATGAAAGATTCATGCCCAGACCTCCTCCTACCCGAGATGGCTGCACACACCCGCTGCCATCAATTATTCAAGCGCCGAGACAAGGGGGCTGGTGGCCGGGGCCGGGTGGCCGGTGCCCAGCTGGTGCTGCAGTGCAGGGGCAGAATCCGTGCAGAGCTGCCGGGGACACCCAGCAAG